GGCTAAGTTGAGTGCCAGTCCAGAAAACAGCAGCATTGTCCTGTCCGAGTGGGAGCAGTCAGTAGTAGGGAAGTCTGAGTTCTAGGTCCTGCTTTGCCACTAGTTCACTGTGTTATCTCAAATACAGTGCTTCTCCCCTCTGAACTTTTCCCATCTGTAAAATGGCCATGACAATAATGCCTCTTTCAAAGGGGAGCTGTAAAAATCCAATAAAATGGTATCTAAGGAATTTAAAATATAAGTGACTAATATTAATTAAGCACCCGGTACAGTATTAAAAGCTCCTTGCTTCAATGATCTTGCTTAATCCTGAAGACAACCCTATGAGGGAGGTACTAAAAGTACTCATATTTTATAAAAAGGAAACCTTCAAGATTAGAGAGGTTAAATGACACGCTTGAAGTCAGGCAACTAGTGGATGCAGGAGTCAGGATTCAAATCAGGTCTGTCTGGCTTCAGGTCCTGAACTTTTAGTCACTAGAGCTAAAATTTTAGCCTCCCATAAGGAGGTGTCTCAAAAGGCACTACGGAGAGGGACTGTTTGCACTTAGTGGGTGGTAGGATGGACTGACAGAAATGAGACCAGAGACACTTCATTAAGTCCTCTATCCCTTGCCACCCGAAGATAAGCTTTCCCTTTCTACGGTCTGTTCCCCCATCCCGGTAGAATAGATTTCCTTTTCCCCAGAACGGTCTCCTGAACGAGCTGATCCCTCGTCTCCATCCCCCTTCCACAACGGTCTCTTGCTTTCCTTCTCCCTGACTACTCCCTCCTACCAGCAACTGAGTTCTCTCCCACCTTTCCGAATTTAATGCTCTCGCTCACCTACCCCCGGGATGGTCTCTCCCTGCTTCTCAGAATGGGACACTCTTTGGTTCCCCTCTCGCGGCAAAACTGGCTTGTCCACCCCTCACCCTGGCGGAAAGAACTCGCCCGTCTCAGGCCCCTCCGCACGGTCCCGCCCGCCCGCCTGCTCCCCTTCCCGCCGACGCTCACAGGGTCCTTGGCCACCGTGAAGAGGAGGTCTCCCTCGCGGTTGTACTTGATCTGCGTAATGGACCGCTCATGGCCCTGTAACAGGATCGGCTTCTGCGGGGACAGGACGGGAATGTCAGCGTCCAGAATACGCCTCTGCCCCAGCCCCGAACCCCACAGCAATACCCCCAAACAACTGGAACTCACCATTCCGGCGGTGACGCGAAGAGCGACAGCGTGAGTAGAGCCGGAAGAAGCTTTGGAGCCACTTCCGGATAATGGGTGTCTGCACCTTCGTTCCCGGAAGTGGAAGGGAACGGCGTTGCCATGGCGGCGTCTCTCGGTGGGTAGGCGGCCCCGCCCCTCTCTGGGCTTTCGGAAACCCTTCCCTGCCGTCCCCGAGGGCATTTTCTACTCTTAGTCTACCATCCCACCTAACCCTGATCCCTGCCGAGCACCGGACCGCGGCCTCCTGGATCTATCCTTGTCCTCGGCCTTCCCGCGTCTGTCCTACCCGCCAATCCCACCGGCCTGCCGGAGAGCCTAGGAGGGATGTGGGGCGGCTACCTGGGGTGGGAGGCCGGAGGAGGGCTGGGCCCGGCTCGTGGCCATTTGGTGGGGCGGGAGGGTCACTCGCATCTCCATCCAGGGCAGGTGCTGGCTCTGGTGTTGGTGGCCGCTCTGTGGGGTGGCACACAGCCTCTGCTGAAACGGGCCTCCTCCCGCCTGCAGCAGGTTCATGAGCGGACCTGGGCCCGGCAGTTGCTGCAGGAGATGAAGACCCTCTTCTTGAATACTGAGGTGTGTCTGGGAAAGGCCCTTATCTTGGAGGTAGCCGCTAAGAATTTGTTCTCTGGAGTCAAATACGTCTGGGTCAGAATCTGCGCCCCGCCACTTAGTAAGAAGCTCTTGGATGAGTCACTTGTTTTAGAGCCTCAGTTTTATCATCTGTAAAATGGGAATAATGTAACCATTTCATAGGGCAGCTGTGAGGATTAAATGAGGTGAGGCACATAAAGCACTTAGCATTAGGCCTGGTACATAATCAGTGCTCAATCTATGGCTGCTGTTAATATTTTATTATGGTGATCCCTCTAACAGACCTTTCCAGAGGGCGGGCTTGGGGCTCGGTTGGCCCTGGGGAGAGAGCATAAGGAAGGATATACAGAACTACTTCGGACCCCAATATGGCCAGTTTAGGCTAGTGGGAAAAGATAAGGCATAGACAACCCTGCCTCAGGCCTGAGGGCTGTGAGAGGTACTGATAAAATGCCAGGTGAGTTCTGAGGAGGGAGGCTGGAGCTAGGGGACTCTGGGAAAGCTGCTTAGCGGGAGTAACTTTGGCACTCATAGACTTGCAGGATGGGGAGGATAGGAACTAGCAAGGCTGAGGGGAAGGCATTCAG